ATTGTACACCTTGTCCAGAATTTTGTTCCTCCATATCGCTTTTTGTTCCCATTGCAGTAAAACTTTTTTTTAAATTTCAATAATTATCTTAATTTTTAATCATCTTCATCATCTGTTTACCCTTTATATCTACGCTCTCTAAACAAGCACATCTATAAAGCACCAAAACCTTTCAGTATTCTGTTGTAATTACAGGGGAGCTATGGCTTTAAGGCACTTTCTCTATATTTTAGTTTCTATACAGAATTCCCTGAAGAAATTGGTCGTATTTAAGAGCAAAAAAACAAAAAAAAATTCTCCAGTGGTTTAGGAGAAACAGCCTCTGAGCTTTCAAATTTCCTTAAAGCATATAACTAAAACACCTGATGCTTTTGTATTGGCTTGAAAGATACATTTATGTTAATGCCCTTTCGGTGGCGATGTTTAAGACACACAGTGCTAAGTCACTTTAAGAATTATGGCTAAGTCTTGATAGGGAGTGTTTTTGTCTTTATGTAACATAACATTGCTCTACTATGCACCAGCTTTTTACCTCAGCTCACTTACTTTTCCGCACACTCTCTGAAGGTATTGAAGAGTCCAGGTGTTTTTCACAAAGAAAAATAATGACAATTAATATTTATTGTTCTGGTAGTTTGGTTGTTTTCTGAACATTTCATGTCAAATTAAAGACCATCATCACAAATGCCCTGTATGCTAACTAAATGCAATAAAGCTTTCAAATTCCTTTTGGACATTGGAGTGACTGCTTGGAGCTCAGGTTTTAATGGGTTTCACATCTCATCCCATCATTCAAACATTTTTGAGTCCCCACAGGTTTTGACATACCCTTCAGGACATCAATAAAAAAGGACAAACACAGTTACGAGTATGCAAACTGCCAGAAATCAAGCCCAGGTAACACCGTCCAGTCACAGAGCCACAGTTTTACAGCTGTAGTTCAGGACCATTTTGGTCCTTTTAAAGGAAGGACCAAACCGTCACTGGTAAAAAGGGACATGTTTGATGTTACCTGAGTTTACAAGTGTTGGGATATTTGACTTTGATGGACTACTGGTAAATTATATCACCTTAGTGGTAAGTATATCCATATATATTCAATTTTTCTGTTACACGCGAACATAATCCCGACCGATACCAGAACATTGTCGTTTTTGCCTTGAATGAATTAGTTCTATATAACGTGATGTTTTTTCCTGACTTAAGAAGTTGATGAGGATGACTTGAATGCACTCTGTCTCATTGTCTCACATTGACAGCACAATGGATTGTTGGATAGTAGTGGCTATATAGAATAAACTGGGCATCCTCCAGATTTGAGTAAAATAAGGTACCATATCTCATCTGCATATGGAGGAAAACTTGGATGATCTTGTATTATTTGAACTATACACCTGGTTATCATTGAAATAATTTTCATATTTATTGTTTATCGGTAGCATTTCATGCTGAAAATGTGATATATATATATATATATACACACACACACACACACAGTATATAATTTTTTTTTTTTTTTTTTAATGACTGCTGTGACTGGAGGCATTATGTTTTTTGAGTTGTCCGTCTGCCCATCCCATTCTTGTGAACACCACATCTCAGTAACGCCTTGAGGGGATTTCTTCAGATTTGGTGCAAACATTCACTCAAGGATGAACTGATTAGATTTTGTTGGTCAAAGGTCAAGGTCACTGTGACATGATGCTCTTGTGAACACGATATATCAGGAACGCCCAGAGGGAACTTCATTACATCTGGCACAAATATTCCCTTGAACTCAAGGATGAACTGATTATAATTTGGTGGTCAAAGGTCAACTTCAATGTGACATCATAATGTTCTTCAAAAACACTTCTGGCCATTATTTAACACTGTAACTCGGGAACAGAAGGGGAGATTATGACCATACTTCCTAGAATTTGACTGATGACAGAGGTATACAACCATGAGGCAGTAATTGTAGTTTTAAAAGATGAAGTGTAATGTTTTACACTTACAAGCTTAATGGTAATTCATTTTTGAGTATTCAGTATACAGAATAGGCCATTTAGGTATAACGTTACATTTTTTTATTAATTTTGTTCGATCGGTAATACAAATATTAAATGGAAACACCTCAGAATCACACAAAAACACACCTGTAAAATGCATCAGTAACATTAATGGCCTGCAGGTGGCACAAGTACAAGGATTGAACAATAAAACACAGATTTTGTATATGTTAAAGCCATGCAACACAGGTGAATTTTCAAGCCTCATTTTAAAATATACATTGTCATATCTTTTGCTTGTCTAACATTAAATTGTTTAGACAGCCATAGCCCCTTTTGGTTCCCTTTTGAATTCTTGGTTCGCTTTTTTCTTAAGCATATTGGAAGAGAAGGCTGTTAAAAAGCATAACATATTGCATTCATTTCATTAATTATTGTATATTATATATACTACTAAGACTTAAACTGAAATAAATGTAATATGCAACTCTGAGGCATATTGTCCCACTGGTATTCCATCATACTTCCATACTTAGTAGGCTTGGTATTAAATTGCAGTCCATGTGGCATTAAAAAGATCTTAGAAAGTCTTGACTTCAACTGTTAGGCCTGTCATGTAAGACATGAACAATGCCAAGGCATACATGCAGTACTTAACAAGTTAATAAGAGTAAATGATGACTTAGTATACAGCTCCATCAGGATGCTCTCCAGTAGGACGCCAAGCAGATTCAGGTGCATTAACATAAACTATGACAGCAAAAAAAACAACATAAAACAAAACAGGAAATAGTGCAAATTATTTTTTGGGTACTTATTAAACTATAGAGCACTTCACATACAATACAAAGACTTCCAGGTTACTTCAAAACTACAAGTTGTAAAGATTTGCAGTTACACTGAAATACTACATTACTCTAATACGGAATTCCAGTCAATCATTTTAAGTGTTTCATTATAACAGGTGATATTAGATCCAACAGCTAAAATGTAATTAAAAATGTGTAGCTGCTGAATGTGAATGCTGTTTGTTACATACATGAAGAAAAAACAGGAAACCTAAAGTCCACTCACTTGCTGTTGATTCAAACATCACATCTCCCTTCACGTCACTGCAGAGAAAATACATAGTGAGGAATGGCTGTAAAGATTTCAATTTACACGGCATATACCATAGTACACTACACAGTGTATATTGGGTGTAATGAAAGAGTTCAACTGCAACAAGCATGACAATCAAACTAATACAGGAAATTAGGTGTAAAATAATCTTTACTTTCTGGACTTTCTGTGTCTCAGAACGCAGATCTTGTAGACCAAGGCTGCAGATAAGATGTTGATGATGATGATGATGATGATGATGATGATGAGGACGTCCAGAATATTAGTGACAGTGAGAGCTTTTCCACTGTCTTTTAAAATGATGGTTATAACAGAAGAATGTCACAGTTGTGTAATTCATGTTTTCATGTTACAAGGAGTAGAAGTAGAGTTCTGTGTGTATGGTCTCTCAAAGCAAAATGTGTTAAAAAAGACTTAACAGCCATTTGTGGTATTGATTTGAACAGCACATACCCAAAGTGGCAACAGGTATTGTCTGAGGCTTGCTCTCAAAGTGTCTATTGAAAGCAGTCACCTGCAAAGACAGGATAGCACACACTGAAATATGAAGGAAATAGTGGTGGTATTCATTTGAAACTATAGGATCATACAAACCTTCACTGTGTAGGTCGTAGAGTAACTCAGGTCCCTGAATTCAAACTTGCATTCTTTCTCTTTAAGTTCCTTCACAATGACACCACCATGATGAAGTTCTGCTCTGTATCTCTGTTTGCCTTCAGGACCGTTTAATTTTCCTGAATGAATACAGGTTACTATAATCACATTATGCTCTGGCTGTGACGTCCTCAGGTCTTTAATATCGTCTGGTACTGTAAGAAAAATGAAGAAAAACACACTTATCTTCAGAAGCATAGTCACCGTTAAAGTGATTTTAATTTGCTCTAACAGCAGTTTTAACAGTAATCAACAATATTATTGTTAATATCAGAGTGTTGCTGTACTGGTTGTCTTGTGCATCAGGATGTTTTAGATGTTGATATATTTTTAATGTCATTATGTAAAGACAGCATATGAAATCAATTATTTGGCAAATTTGCTGATGCTTATCTATTGTTGTTTTTTTAATACATCCTTTAACATGAATGGTTATTTAATCAATCAATGGATGTCTTTTAAATGATCAATGTACCACTTGGTAAAGATTTTACACCAAGAAAGTCAGTAATTACTCTGGCTCCACACTACAGGCTCTTCCACTTACAGTGATGAATAAACAGATGCAGGTACCTTTTAATCTTCACTGTCATGGTTTGGAGTGTGTAATGGATACATTTTCCTTTACATAATGAATGTTGGTATTTGTCTGTGCGAATTATTTGCTCTCTGATCAGCAACATTTATTAAAAAGGACAAACAGAAAGAAAAATCTTATAATTGTAATTTTTATAATGATAAATACAAAAAACTCATTTCAAATAATAATTAATATAATTAAGTTAAATAATAACTAAATAATTAATAACAGTAAATATTGTGTTGAAGTTCCAAATTCAAATATTCATGTAGGGACCATATTTCCTGAACGAGGTGTTTTAAAGTCATAGTACGTCACATGGGATCAGTTTTCTCCCCAAATACTGAAACAGTTTCAAAGCTGTTTGGTCTTAAGAAAGTGTTTCATACAGATACTCTTACTGCCACATGAGTAACTCAATATTCAACATGTATGTGCAGCACAGACTGTCAGTGAATATAGTCCAAATAGTCTTCTTGTGTCATAGATTTAGATCATAGAATCAGCTGTGATCATTTTTCAGTGGTTACTTACTTCCAGCCTCAGTCACTTGTGTCACTGGAGTTTGTTTAGCATCTCTCTCTATGTTGTTGTAGATGGGTTTGACTTCACAGGTGTATGTGGTGAATGGTTCCAGTCCAGAAACAAGACATGTTCCTCCTGATGACTCTTTGTTAGCTTTACCTGTGAGTTAAAGTTTCACAAGCTGTTAGTTTGTTTTGTTGAATAGCAACACAACAGAGACAAAATTAAGGGTGTACACAACAGCTGATTGTTTTTGCACTTTAAGTGACAAGAGAATGGATGTTAATCAATCAGTTAATATCATCAATGCATCATTGGTAGATCACCAGCTTTGGCCCTGCAAGCTAAAACTATTGTCCACATTATGTGCTAGTAGGAAAGCAGACTGGGACAATAAACATGTGAAAACTGAAAACCTTTGTTTCCAGTGGTTTAATACAATCACAGTGTTATTTCTGTGTCATATTTCATGTTGATTTTGTGAAACTTTGATTTTTCTTATTTACACCTACTAACACTCAGGATGCTGAAGGGTTAGCATGGAGCGCTGTAGCTCCAACAATGACTCAAATGTCCACAGTATATTTTACTATTTAGATAAACTGAATAGAAAAAGGATCTCCAACAACTTCCAGAAATGAATTCCTGTTAAAAGAATTAAAAACATTAGAGAGTTAATCTGAATAATTTTACTTACTCCTGTGTGTCTGATGGGAGGGAGTAGGACCACAGCTGCAGTCGTATGAAAGCTTATCAAGCTCATGAAGGACTTCTTGACACTTGTCACTGGTTGTGCTCCAACTCAAGCCAATAGACGTATTGGTTACGTTGTTCTTTGTGGCGATTATGTTAAAATCTGTTGGAACATCAGACATCTGTAACAGACTTGAGTTCTGGTGCTACACAGTAATTCACTCCACAGTATCTGAGGATAAAAGCTTTCATTGCACTGAGGTGAAGTGAACATCAACATACCACAGTCAATCCTGACGTAAACAGCAGTTGTGTTTTTAATGGTGACATCGTTGTCCTTGATCTGACCAGTACAGCTGTAGTCAGTAAACGGCTCCAGCTCCGACTCCAGCTTAGGCTCAGTGACTCCGCCACTCTCTGAGGAGACACGAGGATGACAGCATTTCTTCAACAACTAGTATTTATACCTCAGAGCTCATGTAGCAGCATCTTTTCAGATTAAATCGAATTTTGACTCATTCAGAAAAATATAAAAAAATCTTCTTTTTAGAACTGATTCACTGAGAGCACAAAGTAATACTTCACCTTCCCCCTTCACTGACAGACAATTCATATATCTTAAGTTTTAATTAAAACAGGGAATTGCAGAGTCAAATCTCTATCTATTTCCATGTAAATCCATTTATAATATTAGTAACACACAAAGTCTTTTTACTTGTAGTCTTTTCACTTACCCCTGCAGGTGTAATCAACAGAGAGATTTTTACAGTTTGGAGGTAATTTTGTTTCTATTTTCACTGGAAGTTTAGTGGAAACAATCTGATGTATTTCACTTGCGTTTAAGAAATCTGTGGAAAAAAAATGATGAAATTAAATCTAAAGCACATGCATTTCAAATAAAGGCAGACTCTTTTATACATACCAACAGGGATGAAGCTTTTGGTGAGGCTAAAAGAAGTGGTCGGACACTTTTCTGATGTGAACTTTGTAGTAAAATCTGAACAAATGTCATTGTAACCAGGTTTGACACAGAATGTTTTATTGTCACATCGCACAGCATTTGTGGTTGATAGTAAAGAGCTGATGTCCCAATCACTCCGGTAACAAACACGTCCAGGGATGCAGCTGACATCTTCAATGTCATCTTTACCTGAAATACACAAGTGATGCACAAATGTCTCTCCATTTTACACGCAGTCTCATTTCTTCAATGAAAAGAAAGCGAGTTGCATGACACCAACATAAATTATTTTTACTCACTTATGTCAGTCGTTTTAGTTTTATCTTCAGTGTGGCTACAGTGTTTTTCACCAGCACCATCAAGATGTGTCACATAATGCTCATATTCAGTGCAGGGCTTCAGGTGTTTGATTTCATGTGATGAGCTTTGACTGGACTGATGGACGGTGATGTGTTTTCCAGTGTCTGGTCGGCCTTCTTCATTAATGTTTATGGTGTAGTTACGAGGGGTAGAGCTTTTAATGTCAATCTGGAAGCCAAACTTGATGGGTGTTACAGTGTAGGAACCTGCAGACATCAACAGAGTTAAGAAACTATACTATACTATACTATACTATACTATGATATGGTATGATATACTTTACTATTCTATACTAATCTATACTATAATATGCCATACTATAGTTTACTATGCTAGGCATTACTAAACTGTACTCAGTATAGTATAGTATATCATAGTATCAGCTATACTATACTATGCTATATTACTACTATTATACTATACTATAGTATAATGTACTATACTGTACTATGTTGTATTATACTATACTAATGTATACTATTGCTATGCTATGCTATAATATATTATATTATACATGACTTTACTATGCTGTATAGTATACCATACTATAATATTCTATGCAATGTTCTACGATGCTATGCTATGCTATACTATACAATACTTAACGATACTATACTATACTATACTATACTATACTATACTATACTATACTACATAAAAAGAAAAAAAGTCTCTTAATGTGATCCCCATGAAATCCATCCTTCAGTGTTGTAAAGCAATACCAGTAAATGTATGATGTGTAATGAAATATATTTATCAAAAACAAACAATCAAACAAATAAAACAACATAAAGAACACCAAAGACAACAGCACTTACACTCTAGAGGTGAGGAAGCTAAAATAAAATACAGTTTCAAGAGATTAGAAAACAATTCAACAAAATAACATGTTTTTATAGGATAAAAATGATGTAATGACTGTGAAAACACATAATAGATATAGTAAATGCATATATTTCATTACCTACCTGTAATCCTTTGCCCAGCAGTTGTAGTGATTTGACCTGAAGTAAATTATCATTAGGTAACAATTATAATAAAAACGTGCATTGATAATGTATAATATCAAATTAATTGAAAATGACATTATGAACATATCTTCTTACATATGATCCCAGCTGAAAGCAGCAAAGTCTTGAGGCTCCTGAGACCTATCACGTCCAGGAGTTAGAGTCATTTGTGAAAGATCGTTGTGGTGGGGACCATGAGAGGATAGTCACATAAATACTTTCCTCTTTTTATTGAACGTGAGAACTGATGCCAAAATTTTAAGATATATACATTGTGTATCTCATCAGTGGTCACAGCTTCTGACTTGTGTTCACCACATCCTAAACCTCACCTCTGGTATGAATTCATGAGAACAAGAACAATTTTACATCAATTTAAATATTTAAACATCAGTTCTAACCCACCTTATTTTTACACTACCACTAATAACGTAAAGACTCTTTTCATTTAATTCTCTCATCTGTTTTACAAAAGGAGTCATCTCTGAATTTCTTTCATTAATTTTTACCATATGATAAAGTGTGGGTTTTTGAGAAAAAAAATATAGACAATGAATACATTTCATGTCACCTTTTAAAACCCTTATCACCAGCTCTTTGTATATATGTATGTATGTATGTAACTGGGTGCAACTGAGCTTTCTTTTATATCTATCTTTAGAGTGCATGCTTGGAACTCATACCAGCTTTTAATTTGGATTTTCCATATCCCATCCAATCAAAACTGATTTTGATTATACATTAGCATACAGGCCATTGCTCGCTATTGTCTTTACAGTAAAAATACACTAACAATAACACAAGAATATGCACCTTGTTATTTGAGTGAAGCAGCTAAAACCTGCTGTTCTAGTCCTGTCTGTGTCATAGAGACCAGGACATTAACAACAGCTTCAGTTTTGACGTGCACATATGTGCTGAATGAAAACCATATATCAAGAAGTGACAACCGAATTTCATAAAAGGGTCCCTTATTTTATTTCGTACTCCATTTCTAAACGCTCACCTCTGCTGCCAAATGCAGACCTGCAGTATTTTTTTCTTTTGTCCAATATTTACAGCTGCTTCATTTGCACCTGACTGTTAGTAATATCATCAATTCAGATAATACAGCCTTCACAAATCAGCTCTACAGTTCGGGACGTTGCAGAGCTGCTTTTAGCTGTGGTTAACACGTCTGAAAACATCTAACCCATCTGTTCCAACCCCCACATTAAGAGTGCAGGTTAACTCTTTTTCAGATAGAGAATTACATACATGTGGTAGGCAGAGAATGCAGATTTGTTTGATGGATTGATTGATTGATTTATTTATTGATTCAAGGGAAATTAATTTACATTGTGCCCACAGGAAAAAAAGCATGTAGCAAATACAAAGAAGGAACTAAGGACATGAATGTTGGCTCAGTTCCATTCAAGTTTCAAGAAAGCACTACCAGTGTAAAAACAGAAAAGCAAAGGAGCACTTACTTGCTGCCGTTTGAAACATCGCGTTT